CGGATTTATCCTATTTCCCTCTGGAACGCGCCGGTTGGCCCAGTCATTCAGTTCAACACTTGCAAAACATCTCTGTGACTCGACAATAGCGATTTCAGTTGGCTCAGAAACTCCCTGAATTCGATAGGCAAAGAGGTGATTTGAATGACGACTGGAGAAAAGTGAAAAAGGCCATGATCAGAACTCATGAAAATGTCTGCCAGACGTTCCTTACACACTCCAAGGAACGCCGGAACTCGGTACGATCAGCAGCTCTGACTGAAGCCAGGGAAATTATACTAGCACGTAGATCCCTCAAACGCCGACAAGTATTGGATCGCAAAAGCCCGGGAAATGGAGAAGGTTTCCGCAACGGGAGGAAACCTCACACCCTTCCAAATAATCTGAGCGACTGGTTCAAGGAGGGCGAGTGTTAGTGAAACTAACCACGAAAAGTTGGAGACCGCAATCCACTCAGAGAAACGCTTTGAATGATGGGCTGAGCACTTACAAACGCTTCTTATGAGCCTCTCCCTCTGGAAGGACTAAGTGCTTGCGCGTGGAACATCGATACTAGTCCAGACGGAAGTCCGGCGTGCAATCTCATTGCTTCAACACAGCAAATACGTGGGATGAGGAAGCAATTCAACAGAATGGGACACCCCGACAGCGATTCAGATATTCAGAAAAAATGCAAGGACATCATGCGAAAACCACAGAGGCACCAGCCTAGTGGCTATAACTTCTAGGGTATCTTCTAGCATTATCCTACCCAGGTAGATCCGTCATCGGGAGTGTCAGACTCGCCAAAACCACGCCTTGTTTCGTCCTGACCGGGGTTGCATCGATCCTATTTTCACCTTGCGAAGGGTAATGGGACCGCACTACGCCTTCTATCAACCAACAATCATTGTCTTCCCCCATACCAAATATACTTTTGACTCTGCTGATCGCCAGAAACTGACAGTGTTTGGCGATTGGCGCCACCTCTGAATTCATCTCATAAAGGCTTTGGATGTCTTCTCGCGGATGCGTGCGTGTCTATAGCAGAGTATCTTTTGAGTTCACCACCTCAAGTGGTGTCAGGTGTCGCCTGTCCCTTCAACTTCGAAATATCGATATGCTGTTTGAGTCTTCTTTAACTGCCTCCAACACCTCGGGGATCAAAGTACTACCGAGGGGGGGGGTCGCTAACGGACATAGAGTGAAATGACGATATTGCTTTTCTTGGATCAAATCCTTCAAAAATGCAATGTACTTTACATAAGCCAATTGTCCATTCATAGGTTACGCTGGTAAGGACATGTACTTTGTACACCAGAAGACCGTCTGCCTCACAGAGCTTTCTTTTCCCAGCCCTGAGCTGAGAGGAATCGACCCAGATGGGTAACCTGTGACCTGGCAAACAAAGAATGAAAGCAGTCGTTTCCCAACTGGTAACTCCCTGGATGAAGACCTTGAGTTCGAGATAGCTCAGTGGTCAGGGCATAAACCTAATCATTTGAAGGTGAGTGGCTTGAAATCAACTTCTGCATCTCGATTGCTCCCGTGAATGGTATTCAGGAGAAATAATGGCGCTCATGCATCCAAGCTATTGCCTTCAATGCATAGCTCCCTTCCCAATCCCCCCATTTAACAGTCCACTGACAGTGCTGTAGTTACGCACTAATTTATCAGCTCCCGTCTCCAATGCGCAGCTACCTACCCCACCTCCCCGAATCATCGGTGAACAAAACTGTGACAGCTACAACCACTGTACGACGAGTACGCGGTTATTACAGCTGACAATGATGATGATGATGATTGCTCACATATATAGCTGGAAAACCTGGCTATACCTCAGCCCTCTTGCTTCTTTACGGTGGCACAGCAAGTGGACACCTATGAGAATGGGAATCATGGGACTCAAATCATCAACGGTTGGTGATACTGACGGACGAGGTAATCACACAATCAACGGTCCTCCAGCGCGTGTGAGCTGTTTCTCGTTCCAATGCTAAGAAATGAGCCGAATTTACCATGGCAATTCAGGCAAAAGGACAGTTGTTATCCCTAATATGTGAGCAACAAATGAAGATAGAGTTGAGGGCGGTCTTATATCAGAATATAGAAATAAAGCAGGATCATCTAGCAGCGAAGCATGCACACACACATTAAGACTCGAGTATGTACAGAGGCTTGAGACGAGAATGGAATGGAAATGAGCAGTCTATTTTACGAGAAAGGAAGCGGCATGCAGGCCCCTGCGACAAATTTTTCACTTGCGCATATTCGGAGGTGAGATACTCAGAGACATCAAATCATCCTTTTCAAGGAGCAACTTCAGAACCGCACAAGAATGTCATCACTAATAGGGCAGTGGATGGAATAAACGACCAGCTGATATGAAGGGATCTCGCCAAGAAGGAGCCCCTACGTAGGGACAGAATGTGAAACCGAATCCGGGAACACACGCCAGACACTTGAGCGTTGTATGAAACCCAAACCAGCGTTTTTTAGTCTTACACATTGGTAGGTTTTTCCTCATGCCTTTAGCTATATCATGGTGACCGACGCTAATGAACATGTGAACGGCTTGCAACTGGTGTAATCTGTGGGACGTGAACAAACCATTGTGCCGATCAGCCGTGAAGAGATAGTGTGACCTCTATGATTCAACTTGGCACCCGTTTTTCAATTTCCCTTCTTTTACTTTGGGGAAGGACATGACGGGCTATGTCCACGAGCCAGCGTGTTCTATTCGGAAGCTACAAACTCTCGGCAATACACCATTACCAAACCGGTATGGTACATCGTGAAGATCATAAGGCCTTTTTCCTCATGAAAGTCAGGGGGGAATGTGTACAGAGGGGTAACAGAGGCACACACCTGTTTGGAAGAAGTCGGTAAAATGAGAGGAGCACGCGCTCCCCTCCCATATTTTGGCACCAATAGCATGGGGAATTGGCGAACCCGAAGTTGTTCACCTTCATATCCCTGGTATAGGAAGTCAAGAAAAATAATGGTACAATTCCCCTATATGGTTCGAGCACTGACCTCCGCATTTTATTGGCTTTTAGGACGATTAGAGGTTGAACACATTGCCGTTAGTGACTGCATTAACGGGTGCTTCTAGCCATTAAAAAGTGGACTAGGAAAGATATATAAGTCTCCGCTTTGACTGAAAAATTTTCTTCGCATAGAATAGGCGGTTCCGTTAATATTTTACGGCGAAAGAGTTACCACTAATTTTGATGTATGACAAAACACTGGGAGAGCTACACTTGCTTCAGTGTTCGGCACAACAGGTTCAGATAATTGAGCTATCCCTACAACTCTGGTGGATGAGCTATGCAGTGCAAGAAACGGAGATCCCCCTCGTGTTGAGACAGGCTGACGGAGTTGGAGCGGGCTGCGGTGGGGTGAGCACAGGGAGTCACAAACGAAAAGACAACGTGGGTAGCATCAGCCTCTGATTGGCTCATGAGGTCGAAAGTTGGGCCTGGGAAAATTCGGTGTCCAGTGGATACTTTGATCTGTTCCGAATACCTGGCGCCTTTAAACAAAAGTGCTCAACTGATCAGGCGCCTTAGGGGGCTTCAAGTGTCCCATGACGACTGAAGAGAATGGATGCAACACCGAGTCCGAATACAAGAAATATCAGCAAAGAATTTTCAGGCAGAACCGTTCACTACTACAGCAACGGCATTTAATTCGAGATTTATTGGCCCCGCTGCCATAGTTTTTTCATAACGTTGTACTGGGATAATTTGGAAACGTTGAAAAAACAAGTATTTTCATCACTCACTTCATTGGCCTTGAAATTTTAATCCAGTGTATGATCGGAACGTCGCATAGGCAACTGCAAATCGCATCAAACACAATCCGAAATTGATGTTCGGTGTTTTAAAATTCAGCTGGTTTCTGAAGCGTTTGATGAACCGTCTAGATGCCGCGGTAGGCGTTTACGTATTAACCAATCATAGGTTCAGCTAGGCCTAAACAGCACAGCCACGACCTTGAACGTTAGCGACCTTCAAAAGCAAAAGGCCGCAAAAGCGTGACGTGTACCACGTGGTGACGGTTTTTGCATTCAGTTTGGCAAATTTACCTTGCGTCACCTCAGTATCGAAAATTCCATCTATAAGATCCTTAAGATCATGTTTCTTAGCTACAGGTCAGGATGAACTGATCACATTTGAGGAGTTCTAACTCATGGCCAGTTTAGGTCGGAATCGGCAAGCGGATTAATTGAACATAACTTAATCGCGTATCACATTTAGCCAGCGGCTAGGCGCACACCCAAAATTTCCCTGAAACCTTGGTTCGAATGAAGAAAACTAACATAAAGTTATAACATTTGGTGGTAATTTTTCGGGCGAATGAGATCTTCCCAAACGGCCGCAGTTTTGTTGAAAGTTGTTTAAATCTACTCTAGGCGCACACCAAAATTTCCCTGAAACCTTGGTTCGAATGAAGAAAACTAACATAAAGTTATAACATTTGGTGGTAATTTTTCGGGCGAATGAGATCTTCCCAAACGGCCGCAGTTTTGTTGAAAGTTGTTTAAATCTACTCAATCCCCACGATATTCAAAGCACGCGATATTCATATTTTAAATGGCTGCTATGGCTGAGCACGTGAACGCGGAGGATGATTTTGTGCAGAATTTAGCTCGGCAAAGTTTTTTCATTCAGTGCATCACAAGTCGCTTTGAAAGATTACCAGGCGGAACATTACGTTGTTTTCGTCCGTATAAACTCCAAAAAGAGCAGCAATTCGCTACTTTTGTATGAGAAAGCCTTCTACCATTGCAGGATACATCCCTGCAGACGAAGCCGAAGCCGTGGAATTCGTCGCACCTAGTAAGTTCATGGTTGATTTTGTGTACGTTGTAGCACACGTCGTAATGATTGTCCTGCAATGTTCCACGTTCGCCAGTACCATGACTGCTTGAGGGTTACTTCCTACTACCTGGAGCACAACCATCCACGCAGCAAGTTTATTTTTGACAGGCACCCCATCAACCGGCGACTGACAAATGATGAATTAAAGGAGTGTTCTACCCTTTTGAAATACGGTGCTCCGTCATTGGAGATTCGGCAGTACGTCGCCGACCACTTTGGAAAGGTATTCACTATCAAGGATGTGCGTAACTATCGCGTCAAATGTCGACCCCCATTGTTGAGTATGTTGTTGGTTACCTTTTAGTCGGTTTCTTAGATGACATGTTGTCCATCATCGCCAAGTTTCGGGAGTGCGGTCGCGTGCTGCTGGTAGAATCGGAGAGTGGCAGATATAGTCACCTGTGTTTTTCTCGAACGTAGCAGATAGCACTCTTTAGACGTTTCCCGGACGTTGTAAACGATGATGCTACACAGGGTACTAACCGTCTTGGGTAAGTAAATTGCGAGCCCCTGGCGTTCGCTGTTAAGCTACAAGCTTTATACATCCCTTGTGACGGATGGCATGGGGATCGGTCGACCCGTAATGTATACCTTTGTCGAAAGGTAGCATTTTGCGCCATTGCGCAAGCTGTTCAGCTTGTTCAAGGATAGGATGGGTGGACAATATGCAGTCAAAACTTTCGTCATGGACAAAATGACTTCACAGATGCGGGCTGCCAAA